AAATCCATTTTAAATCAGTTTTATAATTCGTTTTTGAAAAAAAAAGAGTCCTTTATTCTGTGGCTACGTACAGATGTCAGGCAGAAACATCGTTAAACTGCATTCGATAGCGCTCAAAATGGATATTTTTTGTTGGGATATGGTACCCAGAACTTTTTGTGATTACGATACTTCCTTTACTTCGTACAAGGAAGTAAAGTGGTTAAGTGCACCAAGTACTGAAGAGATCTTTCAAAAACAAAATACATATATTCAATACTTATTAATTATATGTATAGTGTTTTCTCGGAAAAATGTGTTATGAATTCTTATTTCTTAGTTCGTTAAGAACTAAACTAGAAAATGAATTCACTCTAAAATAATGCTTTATGCTGAATATTTTCTCGTGTGTCAACACTCCTATGAACTTTATTCAAGGTTAAAGTTCTTTGTTGTTAAAACTCGTACCTTACTTTCTACTTTCTTCGCACTTGTTACATTATTTTCCTTAAGTAAATATTGAGCTTCCTTGAAGGTATTTTCATTTTCTTAGATGTAACTTATGGCGTAAGTGAGGGATGAGAGTAATGCAAATACATCTGGAACATGATTCTAACATAGTAGTTAAGTTGTAAGAATTCCGAATAAGTTTTCTTTTAATATGAATTGAGTCTTCCTGTAAGGCTATTTTTCTCGATAGAATAAAAAAAATTCTATCGAGAAAAATATTTATTTCAGAAAGATAAATTCACATAATGAGAAGCTACAAAACCTTAAAAAGTTTCAAATAAATAGTAGTTCGAATTCTGTAATTTATACTTACATAAATGCATTCATAATAATCTATGCTTATATGGTAGAAACATATAGAAATTTTGGGAAGAAAGGAAGTATGTCCTTGTATAAATTCGAATCGCGCATTTTCCAGGGCTAGCTGGATATCTTATCACATACATGCGAAAACACGATAATTCTTTTTACTCTCCCCATTTAAAGGGCGAATGAGATGAGGCACAAAACCCAGTCGACCAAATCTAAGTGGTTATGAATTCTCATCCACTAGATTTTAGCTAAGGCACTACTGTAAACTTATTTAGAGTTTTTGGAGAGCGAAAAGTGACAATTTTGGAAGAAGAAAGAGAAAAAAGTTTCTGGAGAGTGAAAATGCCCTCACTGGAATATCGAACAACAGATCTTACAGTGCTAGATGTACCTGCTTCTACTTACAGCACGAGAGCAAGCGCAGGATAATGCGATATTTTCTTCTAATATAAGAAATCATAAAACTTTACGATGATGACGATTCTCATCACTATCATAAGTAGAAGAACATAATATCATATTCACATAGTAAGTTTATGTAAATAATCAGTCAAAACAATTCAGGTTCATATAAATTTAACTTTTATATTATAATTGCATATTCACTTAGTATAATCATAATATCATAATCACATAGTAAATTCATATAAGTAAACAGTCAAAATAATTTATGCAGATATGAATTTATATAATAATTGCGGATTGCGTTTTTTAACTCTTTCGCATCCGCAAAGGCCAAAATCTGTTTCTCTTAAACATCTTAAACGATCGTGTATACAAATTTTTGTTGGAATGTATTTCCTTTCCCCCAGGCCACGTAGAATGCTACGTCGTAAATAATAACCTACTTAAGCGATTACTTCTTTATTGGGGATCTTTGTGCTGTTTCACTCATTGTATGCAATTTCACTTTAGGACAGGATTTCAGCTGCAGGCATCAGTAACTAAACGTCGACGTTATACAGAGGACAGAATAGATGCATTCAAATAAGAGAGCTTCAAAATTGTTTCGGTACAAAAGAATGACTGGCATTTCGTTTAACAACTCCGAAACCAATAATCCGTGCACTAACGTGATGTAGGAAATAATCAGGTAGATAGGAACGCAGGCGTTCGGGCGATATGCCGAATGCACAGGCGTTTCGGGTGACTTCGCTGTGAAACAGTTATTAATAAATATACAAAATATAATATTTTGATAAAGTTTTGTTCAAATCTGAAATAGAGATTATACTGATTACTTCCATTTTGTCAGAATATAAAAAATGCATTTTTGCCTAGTGTCTCAAAAAAAAGGAAAATAATTCTTTCATATTTTTACGTCTCTAATTTTTTAAACGGCGCTAATGATATCGCCAAGTCTTAAGAAAAAGTTAAAACTTACATAGCAAAAAATTTTACTTCTTGCAGGGAGTTTGCGACTGCCATATATCCCCGATTACATTTAATACAGCATCAAAAGCACTTTCTCGTTCCAAGGTGTTGAAGCGTTTGGATTTTTTTTTTTATTTGCAGCTTTTCCAATTACTCCTCCATATGCTTTTGTTCATAAATAGTTTCGTTCTCTGGGCATTTTCTTATTTTCTAATGCAGGTAAAACTCCTCTTTCTTGGAAGAATGGTATATAACCTTCCTCATTCCTTCTTTAATCAAAAAATAGTAACACATTTTGAAGAAAACTGTAGGAAATATGAGAGAAATACAACGGTAAAGCTACGTTCAGACGACAGTGTAAAAGGCGTAAATGGCTTAAGCCGAGCTGCGTTACCAGGCAACCACTCTCTGCTACGTCACAAATTCTTGTTTAGGGCTCTTGGGATAAAGTTCGAAGTTTGTAACTTATGCTGACTTGGAATAAGCGTCGACCAATCAGAGCGAGCGCACGAAACCTGAATGGGCAAAGAGAGCGAGAAAGCTGTAGACGCATCCACGCATGCGCAAATTTAGTTTGTCTAAGTGGATGCGGCTTAGACCCTGTGTCGCAGGTGTGAACGGAATTCCCGCATTTTATTACTTGTGACTATGCCTCTGTGGCATTTACGTCGCCGCCTGAAAGCAGCCTAACGTACTTACTCGGAGCTTTTCCAGGCCCACAAGCGGTCGAGGGATAAAGTCGCTGAACACTGGTATTTCTGACAAAGTGGCTGCGTGCATAGGCTTTTCGTGTTTTACCCCATGTGTATCGTATATACGAGCCAGTTTCTCTTAGAACGTTCTCGAAGAAGGCATCTCTCTTCTTATGCAAGTAGCTCTAGCGTGCTTTGCCTTAATTAAATAAACCAAACCGAAGCTTTTCCCGTGCCGGCCGGACATCCTTTGGCGATTTATCGGTAATCTCGCCAACATTTAAAAATAACGGGGACAGTAATAATAAAAAAGTAGCGAAAAAATATATCACAGCATAAATTTAGCTTAAATTTTTCTTATATCTTATTGTTTATAAAAACAGGTATTCTATTTTATTACCTTTAAAACATACTTTTCGAAAAATAGCTATCGTAAATTGGTTAATTAACGATTGCAAAGACTTTTCAATAACGTTTTTCAATTTAATTATTTTCACTTCAGTGTTAATTTATTTTAATTCACATTTCACTCGAATTCGCAATAATCAAACTACTCTTTCATCGTGAGCCTTTTAAACATTATTTCTTTTCCATTCCTTTGGTTTATTAAAGATGTATCACCGAACAGCATTGCAAGTTATTCTTAACGCGAGCACTATTCAAGTTTTCATATTCTACTTCAGTTTTTTCCAATAAAAATATTCCTCTGCCTCTTATGATTGAAAGTAATTGGCTGCGTATGCATGTAAAAGCAGAATATCTTTCTGAAGACAGGAAAAGTATATTTTTTTAGTCTTCGTTGAAATACTTATTTTTACTGCCTTTAGAAAAGAGCACTTGAGTGGAAATGCTCAGGTTGAAAGCTTGATATATGTCCTTTCTTATAAAAAATATAGAAAGTAAACATAAAAATAAATTATTGAACAGATACTTGAAGCTTGGTTTTATTTCTGCAATGTCTTATCACTTATTATAACATATATATATATATATATATTAATTATTAGCTGTGGCAAAGGGCGTTGAGAACTGATATCTTGTCTCTCCTAATAAAAAGAGAAATCTAGTAATTTTGTTACACTTGCGAGGAGTTATCATCATCCACCGCGTGTGCCCTCATAATGTAAATCGTTAACACATCTAGCTATTAATTGAAAAACCGTTGGTTGGAAACTCGTGTAGGGCGCTGTTGATCTTTCATATTTCTCCGTTATAAAAAAGCCTTATTTATAATCTCTATAGTGACATCTGAACTAAAGATGAATGATTACTCGTCACTACGTGGATTTGTCGAGTGCGTCTTGTGCATCTCCCCAGATGCCCTTTAAATGGAAGAGAATGTAAAGAATTATCACATTCCCCTATATGCAAGGAATAGCACATTCCTCTAATGTTATATGGTACTCTAATTATTCATTACCAGTTAGGACTTGTAAATGAATTTCGGGGGGGGCCAGGGGTGCTAATTTGATTTTTAATGTTTCTCCCTCCAAAACTTTATCAGAGCACAGTAGTTTTAAACTCGCTGATACTGCAGAAAGTTTACGCCACACAAGGATGCAATTTTAGAAAATTAATAAGGATTGTTGTAAAATTAATTATCATGGCAGGAATTTGGAGAAAGAATCAAGATTTTGATAATTTGGAGTCCAATCTTACGTACTTTTCCTTTGTTTTCATTAAGAATGAGCCCGAATAACGCCCTAGAAAATCTGAAAATGGATTTAATTAATTTATACTACCAAATAAATCTAAAAATACAGATTTTGATCTGAAAATCTTCATAATCAAATGATCTGAAGATACAATCAAAAGATCTGAAGATACAGATTTGATCAAAGATCTATACATCTGAAGATACAGATAAATCAAAGATCTGAAGATACAGATTTGGTCAATCATTTTGCGTATTATCCAAAAGTTAAACAGCTTGGATTACGGCGAAAAAAATAATCGCTTTATTTGGTAATATAGAAGATATTCTTTTAAAAAAAGAATTAGAGCGTTTCATTTTTATACAAAAACATATGCCGTGACATATCGACATATTTTTCAACAAAAGTACTTTGTTGTCACATTTTCAAAACTTCGAAATCTTTGTAATATGCTTTTCTTTTCACATTTCAGGTGGACGCTGCAAATGCCTGAGAGGGGTGACGCCGCTGTGATTCTGAAGATCCGGAACAAGCTGCTCTATGGCGAGTCTCGGTTTTAAGCGCAATCCCAGCTTAGGGGAGGTAAAAATCCCCCAAAGGGAACCCCAGTCACCGGAACTTAGAATACCTTGTCCAGTGAATCTCGTCAATCAAGGTCAGTTTCCACTTTTATTTGAAAAAAAAAAAAAAAAATTGTACTGTTTGACCACCACAAATGCAACCTTGGCTGTTGTTTCTCTATTCACACATGGTTACAGTCCCTGCTAGACGGGACTTTTCTGATAAACGAGAAGCCCCACAGAAAGCGAAATCCCGCCTAGCTACGGAACGATGTTGCGGTTACGTGGGATTTTTTTCAAACTTCACCGTAAATGTCTCGCCTAGCTACGCTAAGATGATGCGGCTACGCGAGATTCTTTCAAACCTCAACGAAAATGTCTCGGCTGAAGCTCTGTCCCGGGTAGAGACAACCAATCAGACAAAAGTTCTACTTCTGAAGCCTCACGTGATCTCCAATTTGAGCAATAATCGATTACTGTTTGGCGTTCAAGTCTTTGTAGTAAGTGAAAATGGTAACCTAGCTACATGGGTTTCCTGGAAGTGTGCGGATTCTGAGAATTGTCCCTTTCGACGTCAAGTCCTGCGTAGACGAAAGATAATGTGATTGGGACCTAAAGACTTCAAGTCACTCAACAGAATAGCGTTTAGATTGAAGGAAAGAAAACGTGCGAAATATATTCTGTACTTTTCGATTTAACCTATGGTCTCAAGAATTTTCAAAACAGCCGTCCTTTTCAGGGCCAGCTAAACGGATCCTCTCACGGCCAGCTGATGCGATTGTTTGGGAAAGTGCCAAACAACGTTTACACTACGAAAATGTTTAGATTCGCATATGCGAAGTTGATTCATATGAGAAGCTGCCACTGCCTAGCTCTAACGACATCTAATCAGAAAAAAAATGTAAAGGCATATTTAATTGTTCTGATCCAACGAGGTTAGAAGGGTGAGAATAGAAGGTTGTCAGGGTTCGCAGATTTCTCCACTATCCGAAAATGAACCTAAACTCATAAACCGTACCGCTAGTATTCGAAAATGGATCGAAACATTGTTCTGTGACAAATGAAATATACTTGTCACTATAATGTTCCTTACATGTGTCTTTAAGTAATTATATGTTAAATTTACAATACAGCTCGATTTTTTGTTTCACAGATGATATCTATACTTTACCGTATATATGAAATTACTAAGACGAAGTGTGAAATCTAAATGCGTATCAGTAGTTAGTGCTACTAGTTTCTAATATTTCCTTTAAAAATAAGTCTTGATTAATTCACAATATTATCATAATTTAATAAAGAACAATACACCCGCCCCAAAAAAAATCTGAAAGTTTTCAGATTTTAAATTACGTCTAAAAGGGCGTTTTTTTAACATTTTTTGTGTTACCTTTTTTTATTAAATATCATGTTCTTTGCACTTAAAACCATAAAATTCAGTTCAATAGCAATGTCGCAAAATAATTTTAAAATGAGTATATCTTTAAAATTTCCGATACACAGTTCCGCGCGGCTGGAGATAAAAAGGTTCCCGCCCCCCGTTGAGTGTTGCCATTGCTCGTTTTGAAATCCCGAGTTTGTTAATCACAATTTCGTTAAAGTTTTACGAAATATGAAATCGATAATAAAACAAATTCCACATTTCAAATTTGGTCTTCCACATGTCCATATTCGTAGGAGGATTACATTCAAAATTCGATGTCCCTATGTACCGTTGTTTTATCACAATGCGAGAAATAGACATACATTTAGGCAGATTTTTCATTATTTAATTTCTTCAAATATAATGCAGGACTCTAACATTTGTTGGCAACAGTTTCAGAAGTGAAACGGACATTTATAGTGATTCAACGCGAAATCGCAAAATGAAAATAATAGTCCTTCAGGGACAAAACCCCTTTGGACTAATCATCTATCTATATACTATATACAATAATATATGCTTGTTTGTCTTTTTTACAAATCTACAGTTTAATTCTGATCTTTATGAAACTTGCCACACTTGACCTTAAAAACAAGAGGAAGGTCACTGTCTGTATAAGATTTCTCAAAAACTAGCCCCCAGATGAGTAGGCTGCACCCACAGCAAAATTAAGTTCTATACACCCCGGAAAAGCAAATGTACAGAAACATTTCAGTGTGATTGAAATCAGTTCATTCTTTCCAAGCAACAACCAATTCGTAAATAATTTTTATATTGCCAAACCAGGAATTAAAAACTTTTGACATTTCCGATTAATACGCAAACGTCATAATTTAAATTTTATGTAGTATAATGTTTTCTCAATATCAATAAAAGAATTAACGTGAAGTTAATATAGCGTATCAATTACATAGCGTGTCAATTACACTAACCCAAAATAAAAAATTTGCCAACAGCAGCTATTTATTTAAAATGCTCACATTAATGAAACATTTTCGACATACAATGACGTCACATGCAATGTTTAAATGATTTAAATTGTTTGATGGAAGAACCTTCTATCTTTTTAACATAATTGCAACATTCCAGTGTGACTTTAGATTGGACTGCTATTCTCAAATGTTCATATCCGACCTTTTATTTGCCCAATGGCTTAATGAAAAATTTAGAAACAATGTATTGTTACAAAATGCCCGGCAGCGGTAAGATAGCTTCCCGCAAAGAGGGTTTAGGGTTGCCAGAAACTCGCAAGGAAAGGCAGGGTTTTCAGCTTTGGAGTGAAATCTCCCATTTGACGACAAAATTCACAATACGCTATAGACGGAGCAAGAACATTCTAGAACAAATTTTTACCGGTTTTCTGCAGAATGTTCTCGAAGTCGGGTCAAAATCTATAAATATCCTGCTTGTATTCGGAGTAGCAGTTTATCATGACGAGTATCTTGAGTATGCTGATTTCAGTAGTAGTGTCTTGAATTCAGAGATTAGCTCGAAAGCGATTGATCGAGTCGGGAGCTGTGCTTTAGTGCTTTGCGTGAAGCTGTCTTCACCGTTATAGCCTGACGGCCTGAAGGCTGGATTGCTGATTGTTTCAGCCTGTTTATCGTCGTTTTTCAACGACTGAAACGCTTCGTTCGAACTGTTCTGTGTAATACTGACGAATAAATTGTGTTTTGATTCTTCATCAATTGCTGTCATCAATCACTCCAAATCCATGAACCCGTAGAAACAGTACAGAGAACCGTAACAGTATAGAGACAGTTATGTTCTTAATAGCGGGAAACATTAAAAATTAACCATATTCTCTCCAGGATTTATACCAAGGATCTACGACTGGTAACTGAGGAAGCAAACCACTTGCACCACTATCTTAATTTTTAAGTTTTAATATCTCTAACAAATATAACTCATAATGCTTCTAATTACGACTTCTTTAATTATGCTCCATTGTACGTAATACTTTCAGACCCGCTTAACAATGTTTTTGATTTATTCTTTAAAATTTTTCTGCTATTTGAAAGTTTGGCTTAAAAAATTTCCATATGAACGATAAAACTACGGTAGGTTCCTCCTTTTTTAAAAATTTCTTAGTTCCAGTCTGTCATTGGTGATACAGCTTTGTTAAAATACAAATTTATGTTCTCTTTGCATTCGTAAAATCGAAACAGGAAGTAATGCTTGCGAATGTGTAAAATACACAAACAGATTAAGTTACCCCTTCACTATGTATCTAGCACTTTTGTGTGTATCACTTAAGTTCCGTAAGTGTAAGCGTAGCTTGAGTGTCATTCACACCTGTCTACGGGTTTAAAGCAGCTTCCTCGCATTTTGGAATATTCATTGTGGAAGATAAGCCCACCCCAATATATGCATAAGCAGAGCATTAGTCTTTTGGGAACGCCTAATACCTTGAACAAATATTTCATCCAACGATTGCGGTTAGAAATTCCAACATAACATATTGTCAGAATTTTGTAGCAACGGAAAAGCAGTAGATTCCCAACCGTGTTTGCAAATTAAATAATTCAGTAAAAGCTTCTTGTTTGCATAATACCTGAGTAATAAACAGAATGAGAATGATACATACTTCAAAAATATATGCTAATGTTTCCTAAGCACTAGCAGATAAAATCATTTTACTCTGGTCATCAAAATTAAAGACTAATGACAGAAATAAAACGTAACTGATACTTATTGAAAAATTATTAATATAAATTTGTAGAAAAGGATTAGTTAATAAGTAAAAATCCTTTCCTTATTTCAATATAATGGATATTGAACCTTGTAGGAAGAACAAAGCTAAATTTTCAGAATGAACAAAATATTTTTATTTGAATTTTTAAAGAGAACAAAAAAATAAATACTGCAGCTCTTAACTATCAAAATTTTGAACTCTTAACTACTACAGTTCAAAATTCTTACAACTATTAAAAAATACTCAAAATCTTAAACTCTCTAAACAAAATATATAAAAATCTTCCGAATCCTCTTCTTGTTGCCACACCGTAAAATGCAAGTTCTTGTCCTATTATTTATATTTCACGTTCTCTTTAAGTCACGATCTTTACATAATATAAATTACAATGTTTGAAAAATTCAAATATTGAAATTTCAATATTCGTAAAATATTGAAATTAAAACCAAATGTATGGAAACTGGAAAATAATGGAAGAATTATGTCACCTCTGGTGGAAAACAGTTTGCTTTAATATGGAGTACGGTCACCTCGGACAGATATGTATACCTCACACCGTAATTTGATAAACTTTAGCAAGTGTTGATCAAGCCTTGTGGAACTTCACGTCACTACTAAAAGTGCACATTTCAGCTTCTAGAGGGTCCCGAGCAGAATTTGGCGATGAGTAACTTTTTTAAACTTATATGACGTCATTATTCTCCTGACATTTTTAAGTGAAAATAGATCGATGTGTACATGGACACCGAGTTTGCGCAATTCTTTGGTTTCATGGTTCCATTGATGATGACTACTGCACGAGTTTAAATGGTCCTTCTGGAAGCTGTTGAGAGTGGGACACAAACCACTGGTTTTCTCGCATACGGTTCAACTGGTTTTGTGCAGCAGTAGAACGGATGATTCGAGTTACCTGTGCAAACTGAAGGTCTAAAACAAAATCTCTTGTAGTGTCGTCGAGCCGACAGCGACAGAAGAAA